CTTGGGGTATGAGCAATGCCAGCGAGCGGCTCGAACGATGTGCCATCAGCGGTTGAGTGATGCACCAGTGGTTTGAACATGCACAGGCCATTCCAAGGTCAAAGTGGCGAGACTCCCTTTCACTCGTTCGTTGGCTCTCGTGAATTTCCTAGGCTCTCATGCCTTCACTAGCCTGCAAAAAGGTGAGAATCAATGTGCATATGAGAGTTACTTTTCCGCACTTCCGAACCTGCCGCAACGTTGGGTTCGCAAAGTCTGGCACTAGCAAAAGCGAACAGCGCGCTGCACCTCACCCTACCCACTGCGTTTGCACCAAGACCAGACTCCTCGACATAAGTTTTGTTTGCCTCGATTGGAGTAAGAAGAGGTATTTGGGTTTTTGAGGGGCATGTTGTAGGATGCGTATCAGAGAGAGCTGAGATAATGAAATGTGAGGAGCTAAGGAAAGCTTCAACACTTACATAAATCGCTGTCGGTTAGGCTTACCTCCCCCTCCTCCTCCACCCCACTTTGGACTTCTGTGGCAGAATCAGAAAAGTTTGCGGTTCACCGAACAGGGCATATTCGGTCCTCATGTAGCGCTCCTCTGCCGGAATTGGTCTTCTACAAGGTCATCACAGCCTAGGATACCAACTTACATGGAACAGGATAAGTTGGTATCCTAGGCTGGGAAGAGGTGCTGCACACGACCTTAGGACCATTGGTTTACTCATATGTTTTATGTACTTCTGAAATATAGGTATCCGGTGCTAATTTAGGTGCTGAGGGTCACTTAACTAAGTAGCGCTCTGTCCGTCTGCTCTTTGTCGGGGAGATCAGCCGTACTACCGCAGTCAAAGGGCCTATGGTGCTGCGCGATATTGGATACACCTTACTTTGCCCACTAAGCTTGGTCCTAAAACTGATTGTGAGTGTTATCTCAGGGAAGTCCGTGCTTTCTCGAGCGAACGCAAACGAACGGAGCGCTCCGCCGCCGCGTGCCGCAACCAGGTCCAAACGTACGTTGTGCCAAATTTGTGTTGGGTCCAAGTGGTGTGGAAGGGGGTCGTGTACGAGTTCCTTATATTGAAGTCATGGTGGTGAAGGAATACGCTTAATGGCCGGATATGTCAAGGAATTCATGTTCGCGTTATTTTCACCCACCGACGACAAGCTTGGTGAGGGGCGGAGTTGCAGTGTGTCACGTGTGCGCAGGCGCCTTAGGACACTATCATCATCGTTGCTGAAGGGGCTTCTCAGGGGAAAGGGCCATGGGGCTTTTGAAGTCAGCACAATGGACGGTCGGTCCTCCCCCCAAATACTTTAGAACCGGGTTTTATCTCATAAATTCATGAGTTTATTCCCTTTACTTTTCTACTCCTTTCATTAGATATTAAGTTTTTTTTTCATCATCACAGCAGTCCTTGAGAAAACAGTGATGATACAACAATTCTTAAGTAGGGAAAAATGAAATATATGATTAAAGTTTCACATATGCCTCATGGAGGCAGGAAACAGGGAGTTAGGCAGTGCGGAGCTCAGGATAGTTGTATGGAATTTCGAATCCCCCATTTGCGAGCACCCCGTTTGAATTTTCTCAAGGTCCGCTCGTCGAGTTCGTCCTCATCCTAGGTGATCTCCTTTGCGCCATGTCTTAAAGCTTATCGCTTGTTTATGCGGTGCTTGGGAAACTTGTATATCTCAAGCAGATATCAATTCATTAATGAAAACCTCACTTTCTGATATGTGCTTACAGTCCGTCCTATTTGTGATCCTATTGGTTTAGATTTATCATTCAGAAAGGCTCGCATATCACCCTGAAATAATTTTGCTTTTGCGATAATCCCGTCGTCATCGCTGTCAGATTAACCAGATTGAAGTCCCCTCAGGGTCCATTCCGGTTGTTATCGTTGTCGTAGCTTCTTAATGCCAGTACCAAAAATGTCTCTTCGCACAGATTTGAGCCACAATTTCTCAATTTAGTCCTCTGCAATCAGCCCAGCCATCAGCCAGCTAAAAATCTGTTAATCAGACAATGCAGTTAATTTGAAAACGCTTTCTTGGACATATTCTACGTTAGCAGAATGTGGGTAGTGAGGGACAAATGTGAGGCTGTAGGCGCTGCTTGATCCGACAGTAAAAATTGACGCGAAAGAATTCGAGAAATAAAAACGCTCTGAATAAGGCTCCTCTAGCTAGTGTCTGATATTTTCAGCCATCGGCACAGAGGAAGTCGTGTTCCGGCAAGAGACTCGAGCCATGAGGCGCGTAAGGTTAGAGATTACGGAAACGCAAGGCGGTATATCATCATTCTTTGAAGTGAACGCATGCTTTACCCCTGAGCTATCGTTTCTCGGCCTCTTATATAAATCTGGGTTGGTCCTGGCCTGCTAATGGGGCGGAAAGTGGTGCAGTGACAAGTGGCGCGCTCACCACGCGAGCGGTCCGGGATCAAATCCTGGGTCGTGAGTCGCCCGGGCCAACCAAGCCTTCCATCCCTCCGGGGTCGGTTAATTGGTACCAGACTTGTCTGGGAGGATAAAAACACTGACTTGTACATCGGCTGGCCCCCGCAAGTCATTGTATAGGCCACATCGCATTCAAACGCCACTACGAATGTACAAATGGAAGTAGAATGCGTGCCGCATCCCAAAAAGGGATTGATCAACGGCAAATGCTTTATCCTTTATTTAAGTTATAAACAAACGCAATCCAAATCCACGCAACAAATACCCTGCAATCCAGAAAAGGAATCATCATTGGTTCGGCTGCCCCACTGGCCGAGTAAGCAATCCGTTCAACACATCCGATGGGATCGTAACTGAACACCGCTCCCTTTCCTGGTAACAAGATCAGTTTTTCAATTCGAAAACATAAGACTTGCAGGCTCCCAACCTACCTGTTCTCCATCAATGCCACAGCAAAATGGCACCCGTGTAATAAGGGAAGAAACGCCTGTAGTAAAGATTCCTTGCCAGTAGTTCGGCCATGAGATCCACACTCATATCGGTACGGTAGTCGAAACGATATTTATGAAGGCGGGACTAAAAAACACTCATTAGAATACATACTTTTTCAATAATTGCTAGTTACTTGTAGTACCTGGAGCACTCGCTTGAGCTGCACAACGTCACCGTAGAATCCCGAAGTTTTGCCAGGATTATAGAATCATTTCTGTAAGATAACTACTTAACTCAGAGTACAGGAAAAGGCAATTGCCTACAAATTTTTAGTGAAGCTGATATTTCTACATAGCTGACAAACTAGTAGCACCGAAAACTGTGAGCTTCACTATTTCTTCTCTAGTTGATGATTAGTGGCGATTCGCAAAATACTAATCAAAAAGCTGAGGTATTGAAGCAAAATTGTTCTGATGATGATGCTACGAGCAATCCATTTTGAGATGACAAAAACAGAATGTAGCAGCAGTCGGATTTTTGTCAAAAAAGTACGGTCGCGTATGACAATGAAATCACTACACATCTGAACACATCTTCTTACTTCTCCCGCCCTGAAAAAAAAGAGAAAATTCGACCAAACCTTTTTCAGGTCGTTAAGAAAGAAATAGTGAAACTCATCGAAAGAAAGCCATTGACATCATTTTTTAATAAGCGCTGTAGGGAACTCACAGAACATGCACTTTCTCGGCATCCCTGTTATGATGTTGATTTCCATCTGAGACATTACGGGTATCACTTGCTACTATAGCAAAGTTCTCTCCAGCCAGAGCGCATGTTGACCTAAGAACATCAGAAATTCGTCGTTCAATGAAGCTTTGAATAAATAGGTGTACTTTCATTTTCCGAACTTTTCTGGAAAGTGTCGGCTGACATGAAGGTTTCATCTCGTCTCAGAAAGAGCCGACGAAAAGAAGTTTTCGTCCCTGCGCTCCTCACCTTCGTCATTACAGCACTCTATTTCCACCAAACTCTGGGTCCGCGTTTGATGTATCCAACCACAAAGACTTATATAATAGGAGGACCTATTATGAGCCTTATGGGTCGCATTGCCCTTCCTTGAGTAGTTTTCTTATGAGATCTCCTTTCACATGATCTCTATGTAGCTTTCGTTCATTTAATAATTTCTTCAATTTAATAAGCTGCTTAGAATATTGCAAGCGATTACTTTTTGTACACTGCAATTTCAGTGATCGATTGTAATGCACTGGGAGCTTACTCTATGTTTGAGGAAGCGAAGAAGAAGACAAGAAGGCGCATCGACTGAAACTTATGGAGACAGCTTTTTTTCTGAGAAATAATCACGGAGAAATCTCGTAATAACGAGGCGACAAGGCAGGAGTCAAACTTTGCGACCTTTCACGCGAACTGTGGTGGTGGAGCATTTTCGAATTTACCCGCATAGTTCGCGGCCAGTAGCTCACTATCCCCTTTCAATTCATTTGTTCAAGGCTGGTTGCCAAACGCGAATCACCCTCCAAATCTGTTAAACTGTTTATAGCCAGGCTAGTGTCCGAGTCCGCGCGGTCCGCCAAGCGAATCGCGCGAATCTCACGACACGACGGACCGCGCGAACTCTGACACCAGCCTTGCGTTTTCTCAGCTTAACGCATTCCACGACCGATGTTTTGCGCCACGACCTCATATATTGGAACTTGGGCATTCCTGAACAATGTTTCTCGACTGTATAAAAGCAGTACCTCCAAATTTTTGTGCAAATAACCTAATTTAAACGAGATCTCTTGTGCAGAAAAGAAACAGTCCTCACCCTCCTTCAAATACGAATACAGATTCTCCAGCGATGGCGCTCAATTTGACGAGCTGTACGCCAATCCGGATTGGTCTTCGCGTCTGCCATTGCGGCTTTGAAGCGCGCATCTCTTGAAGAGGATCCGCCTTCGCGTCGTAAGGAATCCCGAATGTAGCGACCATCCTTGAAATGTATTTCTTAAATTGAATAAAACAAATCAAGAAGAAAAGCAAAAGGATTGTTTCGAAGATAAGAAAAAGGTGCGAAATAGAAACACTTTGAATGTTATAGGCAGATAATTTTCTTTTCACATCAAAATAGAGAGGAAGGAGAGACGAAGTCATCAAAGAAGTGCTTGCTTGTGAGGACAGTGCATGATTGTGTATATTGCGTGGACATGGAATAAATCACGGGGGCCACCCTCAATTAGCCTGCATTTTCTAATGAGCGCATTATCTCGTGACGGCAAACGTTTTGCACGACAAACTTTTTTAGCCGTCACGCTTGTTCGATAATTCCTTCTCATTGGACCGTCGATTAGCTTTGTCTTCCTCTTATTTGTCTTTATCTTTCAGTCCGAAAAGAAATTGGTTCTATATCTTGGCTATAATTTTGAGATTTACAGAAAATAGTCTTGCTGAATCGATAAGTAGCGGTAGGACAGAAGATGTCAGATGATAGTCCATCCAAGCCTTCCTCAAATACGACTACTACTACAACACAAGAAACTCGAGTGGTAAGTTTGATTGCACTAGAACGGGAGAAACTTCGGCGAAAATGAGGATTTTTTGCACATTCCGGAGTCTTTCTTTTCAGATTTGCCGTAAAGTTGAGCGTTATTTGGATCCTGATGGCGCGAGTCCTGCGTAATTCTGCTGAGAGAGCGCGAAACCCGTTGTCAACTGTGCGATCCACCGAATCTTGGGGTAGCAGTGCCTACGCCCGCGCCGCACATGTGCGATCAGCTCGAACATTGGACCCGGGGCGCAGGCGGTGGAGGCATTGATCGAGCAGAATCTTCCGCTCTTCCATTCATAGTCGGCATAAAGTGGTGGGGAATGTATAATCGATTGGGCTATGGTAAAATGATCAAGATACTTTCGCTTGGCGAGCAAAAATACTGGTGAAAAACGACTCATTATTCATTCATTTATTTTTTTCACCTATTAGAAGAAGTGTTAATCAAGATGGAAAACTAATTTTTGGCAAACCTAAAGGCAAGGCTGTCTCTCCGGTGCTGTTTCTGTTACCACGCCTATACACTTCTTATGAAAAGAATTCTCACCTTAGCATGTTAAATCAACAGATCAATCTGGCCTAATCAACAAGCAATTCAACGATAAGTATATCATTTCAGCAAGGACGCACAGTGAACTCAACAGCAGGCTTGCGAAACTTGGCACCCAGGCAACAATGCGGGTCGAATGAAATGATGAGAATGGTTGGATCTATACCACAAGGTTAGCTGATTGTGGTGCCCTTCTCCATGTAAATAACAATTAATAGTCTCACCAGAAATTCAGCTGTACAAATTATGCATTTTGTTTCTGTGCCAGTTGAATTTTCGTGCTGAAGAGACCCATCATCTTTGACTAGCAAATTGCTTTCAGTCATAATTTCTTTAATTTTAATTTAATTTTTTTAAATTTCCCCTTTGCAGGATCTGATTTTGTTACGCAAAATTTTACCATCAACTTGGTGTACAGCTTCTTTTAAAGCACCTATGCCGATATTTGTACATATCTTCAATGGACTAAAGGCTGTCGGTTTAGTAATTCGTTTTCCGCAATTCACGACTGAGGCTGACCGAGAGCAAATCAATAATTTTTGTTTTTGCTGTGGTTCAATTTCGATTGAAGGCTGAAAATGGCAGTGAAAGCGCTTAACTACTCAATTCATAGAACGATCTTCATTTTTGCGACAATTATATTGCAGTTTTAAATTTACTATTCTCGTTTTCATGCCTGCGAGAAGTGTCCTTGTTCATTGCTGGAAAAGTCGCTTTTCGAACATTCATTAATTTTGCAGTCCATTATCTCAGTAGGTGTCCAACAATGAGATACCCGATGCCAGTTTGCATATATTTTTATAGCTTCGACACATTTGCAACGTTATCGATGGGATTAGTTAACAGGAACTGTGAAAATTGAATCTTGCAGAGGTGGTCTTATCTACCGATCATTCAATCGTGATTTTATCAGCTTAAGGTGCATCAGCTCCTCGCCAATTACAAACGCAACAGCAATCTCAGATGAGGAGTGCTCAGGGAACGCCCCAAATGGTTCAATTGCACCAGGTTCAGCAAGTCCCAGTGACAGGACGTGTTATCGCGATGAATTCAATGCAGGTGCTTGCTTCGCTGTGAATAAATGCGGCAGTTTGAAATTACGAAGTCTATTTTTGTTTCTTTTATTCTTTTTTTTTCAGTTTTGATGAATGGTCTATTTAGGCGCCGCAACAATTGATTCCCGTTCCGATGCGCATGGTTTCCAATGGAGGATCGATGGGTGACGGCCAGCAAGCCCCAAGTATGTTTTTGTGCTTTAATCTCTTCTAGTGCTGTTTTCTTATGTTATTTGAGAATTGTTCAGTCTAATTCTCAATCCCCCTCCCACTCAATGCCATTTTTTGAGTTTTCCATGAATTCTTGGTATTTTCACATCGCTCTCCTTTACCTTAATCCAGATTTAGTGGCTCGAGTTCCAGCTTTTTTTATCTTCGAAACTGGAAAGAAATAGCTCTTTTTTCCGACGTGTGTGTGGTTACATTACCTTCGCTCATCTGGTGCAGGTTATTGAAATATAATCGTAGAGAAGCCAATTTCTCTGCTTCGTTGCTATTGAAAATTGATGTTATCGCCCTAATAATTTACGGTCTCAGAGTGAAACGCGTTGAATTTTTTCCCGTCCATCAGGTAGTTTGCGCTAAATTTTGTTCTTTGGTGTGTGCTGAACTACGACAATATCGATTTTTTATTTTTCGCCAAGTTCAGCAAACTTCTGCGAAACTAATATAACGTTTTGAGGTTGAAGCTCTCCTATAAATTTCTTTTCTTTCGCAGGTGCTTTGTCTGCTATCCCTTTGTTGGAGAAAGCTTCTCCTGTTTTTTTTATATTGATTTGTTGGTACGGGAAATATTCGAAATTGCAAGTGCACTGAATTATGTGCGTGCTTCAGATTCTATCCAACTTATGCCACAGTTTCTTCCAGCAAATGCTCGAATTGGGCAAAATATCAGATTTATGCCGCGTGAGTTGATACGCTGTCACTTCCAAGGATAGCCGTTGTAGACTGAGTTGAGGCCGCGCCGCAATGGTTGAAGCGTCGTCGTAAAGGGCAACCATGGCTTTGTGTCGTGCACAAGCACGTTACGACTGCTGAGCAGGTTGCTCTGCAACCGCTGGTTTATAGTTGTGGCATGTTGGCTTGAACTCATTCTTTAACGGCTGTCTACATTTACCTTTTTACCACCGATTTTTGAATGCTCAACTATTTTTCAAGCATTTTTAGATCCTTCTGATGCCTCAAATGCTCAGGGTATGGTTTCTCAACAAGCGGCAATGGTTATTACTTATTCATTTGTCTTTCTGCGTAATACATAGATTGGAATGGCTATGAATCGTACAATGTTCGCTAACTTTTTTGCTTTAAAGTTTCAGAATGCCATGCGCACGGGCAACACTGCTTTGATGGTTGTACAAGGACCAAATGGACCGATGGTTCTGAATACTTCGACAATGCACCGTGAGTTAGGATGTATTGTCGTTTCCTTGGATACTCCGATGACTTCATTGATAGATGCACTTTGGATGTTCGATTTAGATGCCATTTTCTCTACGCAAGGTTGAAGGTTTTTATTTTCGGGTGTGATGATATTGTGACCTGATGAAACATTTTTAAACTACCATCTACCGGATGAATAATGCTGCACTTGAGATGCACCCCTATTTATGATTCCGCCCGCAATAATCGATACCTATATTGAACCCTGCGCTGGAAGCCATTGGAAGTGTACCTTGCAATACGATACAGGATTGTTGTTCTTGCTGACGTATTTCCCGTATTGATTGGTGCTGTGGTGAAAGGGTCGACGCGGATGTTTGAGCTTATAGTGTTAAGGTTTAACCGGCATTTGTTGAAAAAATATTCATAATATTGGAACATTTACAAACAGGTGCTTTTTACTAATGTATTGACAGGAAGAGACCTTTTTTCAGCAGGGTATATCCCGCAGAACCTTGTACAAGTGCAGATCGCTCAAGGGATTCAGGGCATGCAGACCATGCAGCAGGTTCACCGCCAGCAACAGCAGCAACAACAGCAACATCAGCAGCAGCAACAACAACAACAGCAAACGCAGCAGCATGGTGTAAGTTATTTTTTCAAACAGTTGTGACTCCTCCCGAGAGGGACACTATGAGGGTTTTGATGAGCTTTTGGTTTTCCTGATGAGTTTTCGGAGTGATTTATTGTTTAGAAATCAATGGCGAGCCGCTGTAAAAAACGGCGTCCTGAAAGTGGTTCTGGAGAGATGAGTGTAGGAGAATACCTTGCATTGGGAATGGACGAGAAAGGTCGTGCTGATAGCACTTCATGCGGTACTGACAGCCCCGACACTGCAGGAGATATACCTCCGGCACTTGATAGAGGTGTTTAGATCGTATTTGCTGCATTGGTTTTATTTACTTCTTCTTTATAAGAACCCTTTGGGACCTATGGGTATCTTATCAATATGATATATCATTTCTGTTAAATTTTTTTTCTGTAAAATTTTTAAAGGTTTTCTTAGGTGATTCTATCGATGACTCATCACCGCAGCCACCCATTGATTCTACGAAATCGGTGGAAGCAATTTTTATTCGTGAAGCGTTAGCGTTCCGCGCCAGAGGTGGAGGATGCGGAAAACCACTCGTACATTACATGGATGGTTTTACTATTGAGGTTAGTAGATCGAGTCCATACAACGTTGATTTTATTTGCCTTCTTTTTTGCATTGTTTTTGCTCTGATTTTTCTTTGTACTCAGGAATCTGACGTCCCATTTCCGCTGACTCAGTACGACAAGCTTACTGAGCTAGTGTCGTCCGATGTACTCGACGACATCATGCCAATGATTGCAGATATCGACGTAAAGACTAAAGCGGAGACAAAATGTAACCATAAACTCTTCTTTAACAATTCTGTGCATTGAGGTGCATTTTTAGAATAATTAGTCGTTCACAATTCACTAATAAGTAATATTCTGCATCAATACCACCAATAATATCTGCGGAAAGCAGTGCAGCGGTCGTAGAGCAATAAATCAGACTAGAACCAAATCAAGCTTTACGTTTTGAACCCTGCCTGTTATTTTTGAGCATGGGTAGAGGTTCTGAATTTTCTGCGTTACTGCAGCTACGTTTTCACAACCATGGTTAGCACACTAATTTCTTGCAGCATTGGGAAACAGAATTGTTCTAAGCGAGCCGTAGTTTTTCTGTATTAATTGTGCCCTCAGAGGCTTCTGATAGGCAGTGAGAGCTCAATTCAAATTTTTCAGCTCCACGTGGGAAGAATAGCCCACCAACAAAACAAGTGGTGTCAGTAGCAGAGCCAGAAAAAGAACATAAAAGAAAAATACCATCTCGCACTCGAAGGTCAGCGACGGCACCAAGTGAAGCAGAAACGGGCAAATCGAAAAAGGAGGAAATTCAGGAAGAGGAGCTGCAAGAAGACCATATTGAAGAGCGTAAACAAACTAAGGTTTTCAAAAGTTTCATTCCCATTCTCTTTTGAGAATTCTTGTGGTCTAGCTGAGTTGGGAGGGTTTTGCTAAAATTTCCGCAAAAAGGATACAAGTGATTTTCGCATGGCTGTCACTGCTTATTCATTACACACATTTGTAAAGTTTTGTGTTTGACTTGCACGTTTTAGAATCGTCGCCCCGGCTCCGCCAACCATCCTCCACGACGGCGAACAAATGAGTTGGAATTGCTCTTGAATATGGACTTTGGACCAAAAGATGCTGGTCGACGAATACTGGATTCGGAGAAAAGAAAGAGCGTTCTTGAAAAGGAAAAGCGTACGTCGTCTGAAACAGGTGAAGAACACGCGGAAACTGCAGAAAAGCCTCGCTCGAGGCAGAAACGAAGAAGTACCCAATCAACAACGTCAGAAAGCCCAGCAAAATCGGAGCGTCCGCGTTCATCGGCTGATTCTGTGGAGCCAGTACGACGAAGTTAGTTTTTTTTTATCTTGAAAATCTTGATTAAATTGTAGGAATTAGCGGTTTTGGTTCCTTTGAAATAAGCTTGTGTAAGATTCTCTCTTAAACCTGAACCCTTCTCTAATTGGATGGGGCTTACCCCATGATTTGACTGATCTTGCGTTTGCTCATGCATTTCGTATACCTAAAGGTAGCAATCACGATAGGTTCAGAAGGGTTCATAGGGACGTGGTGGTGCTCAGTGGTACGCCAGTGCGAAAAAAGCAGAGAAATCCGTCAAGAAAACGCAAAACGGGACCCCTTTTTTGGCCGTTGGTTTTCACTCATGAACAGGTAACAGCTCAGAAAGCGGACGTATGAACGAGTTCACGCAACGCGTTTGGTGGCACCATGCCAAACCACGCTTAATCGAGATGCTCCAGTTGTGCCGCTGCTGGCAACGCAGCTCGTCCAAATCACCAAGTAGTGGGCGGATCGCTTTTGGGGCGGAGTGCTTTCGAAGTCCTGCTCAGCAACCAGCGCACCTTTCGTCGTGAAAGCGCCACACCTCGCTTCCCTGGCAGCCAAGTAACTGATTTCGTGTGGTGCATATGCTTCCCCGATGCGCTCCCTCTTTATCGTAATCGCTTCTTAACACATTCACGACGACGCCCCTTTTCCACTTTTCGGTCGCGTGGGACGGACGCGATTTTGGGGCCACCACATAACCGCAGATTTTGTTTTGTAAATGAACAAAAACATGAATGTCACAAAATAATTTCTGCAATGTCCAATGCGTAAAGATTATCTAAACATATAACAGTAGGATTTCGATCAGAACGACAAATAGTGGTTACGAAAAGAGAGCATTTATTCACTTTCCCCGTGAAGGAATTTAAAAGCATTTTACACTCGATTACGAGGTTTGCCCACCTATCTGTCCATTCCTAGCGCCTGGCAAGCGATTATCAGTTGGCAGCCCATATGGGCGGCCATCGGCGTGAATGTGTTAATATCAACTGGTTAGATGACACTGGGACAAGAGCCGTCAAGGTTTAACCTCTGCCATTTTTCAGTTAGCGGAAGACATGATAGAGGAAAAGAGAAAGAAAAAGAGAAAGAGAAAGAGAAGGAGAAGGAAAAGGAGAAAGAAAAGGTTCGTGGTACTCCGACGGTGAGCGCACGTATGTTGCCGCATATTGAGGATTCACCGGAGGACCACTGTCTCTATTGCCAAGTTTCTTTCAAGGAAGTGAGTTTCTGTGTTTTTACTTTCAATTGAATTTGATGGCTCGCTTCATCAATTTAGATCGTTTTTGGGTCAAATACGGTTATAGTTATTTTACCTCTACGGAAGTCTTTTTTTGACATTTTTACGAAGCTGGTTATTTGAGAAGGAACGCTCTGCGTCGACACCTCAATACTGCTCAACGAAATGTCGTCGAGCATATCAATCAATGAGAGCCAGTGAGAAGAATAGCAGAAAGTTTTGTGAGTTGTTACTGTCATCGAACTGGGCTGCGCGAATTTGTTTCAACACGATTTTGTCTATTTCATTTGCTTTTTTTTCAGCAGAAAGTATAAAACGAGTATCAGGCGGTTCTGAAGGCACCATATCATCATCTTCGAGTGTTTATGATAGTAAGCTCCATAGCAGTGACCTTTTCATGAAAATTCAGTCATTTTCAATGAAGCTAATGAAGAAACTGCCATTTTTAGTGCGAATGAAAGCGGAAGAGGAGCACACACCTTCAGTAGCAAAATCGAAAAAATTCGAGGAACCATCGCCATCGAAAAAGGTTGTGAAAGAGGTAAGGATGTGTGAAGAAATCTCAGTACAATCGAATCGATGTCATGATTTACAGCTTCCAACACCCGTGCCGCGTTCAACAATGAATTCTCCTACTATTCTTGTCGAACAGCCACCAGTTGTAGAGCCAGTATGCGTGACGACTCCAGTAGCGACATCATGTGGACCTCTTAGTGTTCCGGGTGTTGACTATGATGTGGATCCGAAGCTTTGGACGGTATGTTTTTTTGCTTGTTTACATGTTATATTGATGCGTTTTTTCACGAGAGATAACAAATGAAGGCTACATCTATGACTAGAATTTGAACATCTTTATTGGCTGATTCGGGCTAGGCCGATGTCGCGAATCCAACGATTCGCTAGCAAAATCCAGCTGTTCGAACGATGTACCAGCGACTCAAACTGTTTGAAAGTGGTGTAACCCAACGTTCAAAGGAAGCCCCGCCACTTTCAGGCAGTGCGAGTCGCTGGCACATCGTTCGATCCGCTGGTGCAACGCTCGTATCCCTAGCGAATCAAAGTCTAACTGGCCTATTTTCTGTCTGGCTTGCTTGATATCGAAATTCGTCGATGTCGGAAATTTGAATATGTAAAACTATGCACAGAAAACTTTTCATTTTACATGACAATTTGTTCCTTCATTCTCTGATAGTAGAGGCGGAAGTGGTTCAGTGGCAAATGCGTCATTTACCACGCCGATAGAAAAATCAAGCCTTCCATCTCTCTGGGACTGATTTTTTGACAACAAGCTCGTCTGGAAGGATGAAAACACTGACTTGTTCATTGGATGGCCCCGCAGTTCACTGGATTGGTCAATTCCGACGTATAGGCCAAGTCAATTGGTCTATACATTCGATATTTGACTGGATTTGACTTATACATAGGCCTAGTGGACTTCAAGATTGAATGAAAGTGAAGTACACGGCGCATCCCAAAAGGCATTCTTCGCCAAGAACTCATCGTCTTATTCTTGATTTCAAGAATTCGAAAATTCAGATTTTTTCAATTACAGTGAGAGAGAGAAAAGTAATGAGAAGCTAACTCAATAGAGATACTTTTCTTTCAATGTTCGTATGAAGAACGAAATCGGAAGTATGGATTTTCATCAACGTTATCACTTTTACCATCTGATAAGTTTTCTCTCCAATGGCATGCTTCTGCCAGCCTGTAACTGAGCAGCTTATCTTCTACTTCTACCACCTTCCATATCTAGTTTGAATCACTGATGCTATTAACGCGTACGTTTCCAGCCGGATGTAGCGGCCCGCTGGGCGCAAGCAGTGACAGGT